AGAAAATCCGCGCCAGAATTTTCATGTTTTGTCTATGATTTACGACTATGATTTAGGACTAGGATTTAGGACTACGATTTGGGACTAGGATTTAGGACTAGGATTCAGGACTAGGATGTGGGACTAGGATTTGGGATTAGGATTTAGGACTAGGATTTAGGATTAGGATTTAAGATTAGGATTTGGGACCAGGATTTAGGAATAGGATTTAGGGCTGAGTTTGGGACTAGGATTTGGAACTAGGATTTGGGATTATGATTTAGGACTAGGATTTAGGACTAGGATTTGGGACTATGATTTAGGACTAGTATTTAGGATTAGGAATTGGGACTAGGATTTGGGACTAGGATTTCGGACTAGGATTTAGGACTAGGGTTTGGGAGTGGAGTAGGATTTAGGACTAGGCCTTTTTTTGCCTCTGGACCATTTTTGAGCCTGTTCCAGACTGATTCTGCATGTTTTGAACCTGGCCCAGATCGTTTCTGAGCCCTTTCGTAGACTGTTTCTGGATTACTGTTTCTGCACGAACTAGGATTTCGGATTCAGCTTTGGGACTAGGATTTGCATTAAGGACTACGATTTAGGTTTAAGATTCAGTAGTAGGACGTGATTATGATTTGAGACGGACACCCAACTTCTCTCAGGCCCTGGCGCATGGTAGGAGCCATAACAGCTATGACGGCAAATGTAACCTGACGCTGCTTGGCTTCGTGTGCTGCCCTCAAATTGTTTCTTCTGAAGGTATGCATGCACGGGCTCACCCGAGTGACAAGTCATGTGCATGGCTGGAGCCAGGGTCGTGTGGCACTCTCTGTTTCCGCACGCGGATTCATGTTATGGACTCCATGTGTGTTGGCACATCTCTTGCAGCACTTTGGGCATTGCCTTTTGCGACACAGCTCTCGCATGCCGGTGTGTTCCAACCAACACGGGGGCTTCGCCCGCACCGCATGTTTGGATTGCGATTTTGCTTGCGAAGTCCTCGCTCAACTCATGGTGGATTGCATCTCCGTAGACTATACCTGCTTGCATTACCAACATTACGAGAGACCAGCTGGCAAACAATGTCGTCGGTCAATGATGCCTATGAACTGCCAATCGCGGTCATGCTGTACACGAGAAATGGCAACATACAGGGCCGCGCGTACAAATGGGACATCCATCCAGATGGTGACATGAGAGAGGGTGGCGCCCTGAACCTTATGCAGGGTAGTACTGTACCCAGGGCGCACTGGGAAGGCAGTCACTCTTCGCCAGCTGCCGTCGTAGACCTGGATGTCCTGAGTCACTTTGTGGATAAGAAGCGTCTCGCCCGCATCAGTGCGCACTTGCACACCACTGGTCCTCATGCGCTGCACTGTGGCCCCCATGCCGTTGACAAAGCCGTTTTCTTTGTCGATGTTCCTCGTGATCCTGATGCGCATGCCCTCGTACACCGGCATCATGTAGGGTTCTGCGCTGACCTGGATCTGTCCCTGGAAGTTGCGGAAATTCTCTTGTGGGTCGCAAGGAATCCAGTCCAGCGCTGGTGTGTCAGCGAAGAGGGCCATCATGGCAAGCTGGTTCAGTCCAGCCGAACCTCTGCGAGAAAGGGTGACAAAGGTCGTGCTTGGTGTCTCGCGCATGATTGCTGCAATCTCCTCAGCAGTAGGGATCTTCCCGCGGGATGTCTTCCGCATGTTGGCACGATGCCCCCTGACAATCTTTTTCAGCTGCTTACCTGAAGGAATGGCGTTGCGCAACAGCTCGAGCTTCCACCTGAGGCTTGGACACTTGCAGCGGCGCATTTCCCGAAGCTGCATGACATGCATCTCGTGCCAACGAAGGCTGTCTCTTGCGGTCGTGCCATCCAAGCCGGCCAGTTGGCAGAAATCACCCACAAAAACCAGCGCAGGTCGTCGATCTGCGGCGTCCCACAGGCGAAGCAGCCTGTCAAAGATCCAGGTCGGAAGCTGCCCGACCTCGTCGATCACCATCAGGTCGTAAGGCTGCATCATGTCGGCCGTCTCCAGCTCGTCCTTGTGTAGCGCGAACATGCCGTGCACCGTGTCGATATCAACATCTGGGTGCCGGGCTCTGTAGCGAGTAGCCAGCATACCTGTAGGACACGCGATTCCGACCTGCGCGCCCTGCTTGATTGCCCGGTCCAGGGCAACCTCTACTGCTGTGCTCTTGCCGCTGCCGGCCGGGCCCAACACGACGCTGACCTTGTTCTGAGACGGCTTCGAGTCCAACCAGACCCCCCACGCCTCCACGTCGCGCTCTTCCGGGAACTTGGCCTGCAGTGCGTGCTCAACCCGGTCTGTGATCATCGCGATGACACCCGCCTGCTCCGGCGCCAGCTCGAGATTTTCTCCATCGAAGCGCGCGACGCCATGGAGTGGTGGCGCAGGGTTCTCAGCAGTTGTAAGCTCTCCGGTGAGGTACGCATCGATTAGCTCAATTCTAGACGCCAGCATGCTCAGCGTGTTGGCGATGTGAAGTTCGGTCCTTGCCTCATGCTCCATTTCTTGTCGCACCCGCTCTGAATTGCGCCAGAAGCGCGGGCGATGGAGGACGCAGAGGCCGAGATGTCGCAGCGCTTCCGGAAGTCGAGCTGCTTCGGGGTGCCACAGATCATCTACGCGGCGGAAAGGCACGTTCAGCAAAAGCCACTGTCCAAAACGGCGATCATTGCTGTGGGTATACATCACGCTCGCAACGACGATCTGGCCGTCGGCCGGGAAGTGATTGATCCACTCTTCCACGGGCACTTGGACTTTGAGGGCTTTGTGTAGGCGGCGATATCTCTGGCCGATCTGTCCATCCGAGCCTGCCTTCCGCAAATACTCCAGAAGGGTCATGTTGTCTTGCCTCCACGAGCTCGCCATGTAGTCCTGCACGAGTTTCGGGGGCTCCCGCTGCCATGGCACTGGGACCACGAACTTACGCACGATGCCCGGGCAAAGGAATTGTGGATGCTGCTGCGCTGCCAACTGCATGATCATCTCCGGCTGCAAAGGATGATAATCTGCAAGCACTCGCCTGGCGAGCGTGAAGTCCGTGGCCTGATCGTTCAAAAGCTCCTGCGCGAACGAGCTGCTGAACTTCGGGAGGTAGCCTGAAGCTTAAGGGAGACAAGCCGAAAGCAATAACTTCATCATTTGGGCCTGGTCAAAATGACAAAAATCCAAAAGCTGTGTACACCAATATCTAGGAATGACAGACAGGTAGCTAGCACAGTATTTAAGCACCATCGCTCGACCGTCCGAGGCCAGCACGTCGACGTGGCAGCGGAGGGCGGCAAGCACATCTGGCAAGTAGGCACGGCAGCACTTTGCAAACGCGTCTACGGGGTGATGCAATTGGAGCCTTTGCTCAGCCGTGACCACCCGGGTCTCCTCGTTGCGCACAGGCCAGCCACTTGAGTTGTAATCCAACTGGGATGCCATGACGAGGTCACGCATCTCTGCATCCACAGCGTCAGGCACGTCTGCTCGGATCTTCGAGGCAAGGTCCAGATCCTGCATGCGACTGAGCCATAGCAGGATGTGAATGTGGATGGTGCCGCGGCCATGGTAGAACTGGGCATCGCGGAAGGTCGCACGCTTGCGCTTCCCATCCTGAAATTCCAATCTGGCCACCCAATGAAAAACCTTGCCCGACCCATCGGCAGATGCAAAGATGTGCTCCTTGTCGGGCTTCAGTCCGTCGTTGGCGCCCGCGAGGAGGCCTTTAACCGCCTGAGTGAGGACGTGTGCCAAATGCAGCGTCTCGGACACAGGCATCTCCAGCCGCGAGGACAACGTCTTGGCCAGTTCGTCTTCGAGCCAGGTATGGTATGGAAACGACCATTCGTAGGGCGCGATGGTGATGAACAAGCTCGGCCAGCCGATCTGTTTTTGCAGGTCAACGAGGGCCATGTGGTAGGTGCGCCGCAGCTCGGGCGAGTACGGCTTCGAGGCGAGGGCCTGCCGTACGCCAATCCTGGCGCTGTTCTTGGCCCCGCCGATGGTCGTGAAGAGCCACAGGTCGTAGACGAAGTGGAGCAACTGGGCGTCCGAGTTGTATCCGAGCAGAGAAGCGTGTGCTTTGG